CACAGGGCGCCCCACCGCAGGCCCCGCTGGGAAGGTTCGCGTGGCACCACCGCCTCATGCCGTAAAACCCTTCACGCGCTGCGTGGCCCCATAGGGGGCTCCACCTAACGCCCCAGTGGGAGGGCTCGCATGGCACCACCGCCTCATTTCGGCACACCCCTCACACACTTCGTAGCCCCATAGGAAGTTCCACCCCAGGCCCCAATGGGAGGGCTCGCATGGTACAACCGCCCGATTTCGGCATACCCTTCGAACGCTTCGTGGCCGTATCGGGGGCTCCACCTAACGCCCCACTGGGAGGGCTCGCATGGCACCACCGCCCCACGTCGGCACACCCCTCACACGCTTCGTGGCCACATGGCGAGCTCCACTAAGGCCCCAGCGGGAGGTTTCGCATGGCACCGCCGCCCGACTTCGGCAAACCACTCACACGTCTCGTGGCCCCGTAGGGAGCACCGAATGCCCCAGTGGCTGCGTTCGCATGACACCGCCACCCAATTTCGGCACACCCCTTGCACGCTTCGTGGCCCCACAGGGAGTTCCACTGAAGGCCCCAGTGGTTGCGATCGCATGGCCCTACAACACACATTTCGGCACACCCTTCACACGCGCTCGCATGCGCCCATCACGCCCATTTCGGTACATCCCTCGCGCGCTTCGTGGCCCCGTAGGGAGCTCCACCACAGACGATACAACTGCGTTACGCACAACTGCAAATGGTTGGCTCTTTCGCCTAGCTCATCTACCCGGCGTGTTGGAAACTATCGCTTCAGAGTTTACCCGAAAATTGGCAAGGACAAACAAGCCAAAAACAAACAAACAAACAACAAAACGCTTTGAGCTGAACACTGAAAACTCTGAAAATCGAAAACCGCATATTGACAATGACAATGCGAAAACGATGTGTTGTTGTTGCGCTTTGAGCTCCTCTGTATAGTGTATAGCGTTGCTTATAACAGCGCCGTCTACCACGCCCTCAGGTCCCTTCTCCTTGCGTCCAGTCCCCCCTTATAGCTTCTCACAGTAATGTTGCGTTTCTCTCGTCGTCGCCGCTGGTTCGTCGCGGGGCCTCCGGGCCGGTTGCACGCCAGGATTGGACCGGCGTCAGGGCGTTGGTGGCGCGCTTCTCATTCGGCGCTCGGCGCGCGGAGCGGGAGGAACGGGACGCGGGTGGAACGGGGAGGCAAGAGCGATGACGGCATTGGAGACGAGGAGCAGCCTCTGACACGACAGCAAAAGAGGCTAAAAAATGAAGACCCGCGGCGACGGGCTTTGAAACGTTCAAGGACGCAGCAGCCGCCCACCGCCAGAAAAAAAAACGCAGCGTTCCAGCTCGCCCACAACCCAAAGTGCAAAACGGGAGAGATATATATAGAGAGAAAGAGAACAAAAAAAAGACTGTTCGCTCTTACCTGCTCGAATGTCGTTCAACGTGTATTTCCAAAACCTTGTACCTGCCCTCTGAGTCTTCGAACGTACCCCTTTTGGGGTGTATATCTTTCTTCCCCGCAAGCCGGGCCCCAGCAAGCGGCGGAGCGGCCGCGGACCGTCGGCCTGGCCAGCAGCAGCGCTGACCGGCGGCAATCCGACCCCAAGAGGGACGGACAGGGGACCGACGACGACGAGCGAAAGCGAGAGCGAGAGCGAAAGCGAGAGCGATAGCGGGGCCTCGGAGGGCAGGAAACGGGCCATGAAGGGCGACAACGGGGCCACGAAAGGCATGCGTATGGGGCTACGAAAGGCGCGAACGAGCGGGGGCCACGAAGGGCATACGTGTGTTGGGCTGCAGAGGGCAAGGACGGGGCCACTGAGGGCAGCAACGGGGCCACGAAGGGCACAGAGGGGGCCACGAAGGGAAGCAGCGGGGCCACGAGGTGCATGCATATGGGGCCACGACGGGCGCGAACGAGAGGGGGCCACAAAAAGCATAGATGTATGGGGCCACGAAGGGCAGCGAGGACGCCACGAAGGGCTGCAACGGGGCCACCAAGGGCAGCGAGGGGGCCACGAAGGGCTGCAACGGGGCCACCAAGGGCAGCGAGGGGGCCACGAAGGGCTGCAACGGGGCCACGAAGGGCAGCGAGGGGGCCACGAAGGGCTGCAACGGGGCCACCACGGGCAGCGAGGAGGCCACGAAGGGCTGCAACGGGGCCACCAAGGGCAACGAAGGGGCCACGAAGGGCTGCAACGGCGCCACCAAGGGCTGCAACGAGGCCACGAAGGGCAGCGAGGAGGCCACGAAGGGCAACGAAGAGCAGCGAGGGGGCCACGAAGGACTGCAATGGGACCACGAAAGGCAGCGAGGGGACCACGAGGGGCTGCAACGGGGCCACCAAGGGCAGCGAGGGGGCCACGAAGGGTTGCAACGGGGCCACGGACGGCAGCGAGGGGGCCACGAAGGGCTGCAACGGGTCCACGAAGGCCTGCAACGGGGCCACCAAGGGCAGCGAAATCCCGAGTCCTAAGTCAATTACGAGGGAGTCCTATCGGCGGTGGACAAACCTCCCTTTTAGTAAACCTCCCTTTAGTGAGAACGGCCTGGGACCGAATCCGACCGCAAAAATGACGGCCGCGACGCACTCTCGTGAACCGAAAACGGCCAATTCACTAATCGACGTGGCAGGATAGGAGGTCTGTCCATCCCTGATCCTGAGCGTGAGCGCGAGTCCTGTGTGCCTGAGTGTCGGGAGCGCGGCGCATGAAAAAATTGAGGGGATTCCAACGCAAGAGCGCGATTCTTGACTAAAGTGCAAACAAATCTTCAGCGACAGCGCGTTTCCAGAGCGCCGAAAGAGCGATTCAATAAATGGTCCGGAAGTCCCAAGCGAGAGCGCGATTCCTGAGTGAAATGTGAAGGAATCTCCAGCAGGAGCGGGTGTCCTGGCTAAATTGTCGGGGAATATCAAGCGGGAGCCGCTGTTGTTGTAATCAAAGGGCCAACAATCCAGCTTGAGCCCCGTGAGTTTCCCTGATAAAAAACCGGGTGCGAGCCCCGGGCGAAGCATTTCCATTGGAGAAGCACAATGGTCACCGAAGGGGGGATCAACAATAATTCTGATTCAGTGGTGACAATTTAACAGCAAAAACAACAACAGAAACTGCAGCAAAAAACGACAACACAGACACCAACAACAACAACAACAACAACAACAACAACAACAACAGCAACAGCAACAGCAACAGCAACAACAACAACAACAACAACAACAACAACAACAACAACAACAACAACGACAACAACAACAGCAACAGCAGCAACAGCAACGGCAGCAGCAACAGCAACTGCAGCAGCAGCAGCATCAACAGCAGCAGCAACAACAACAAAACGTGCAGGTACTCTTAGGAACAACCATGCTGATGTTGAGTTAAGGCTGTTGCGGACGCCGCAGCCGAAGCTCGGTCTGCCCTGCGCCACTCGCTGCGACACGCGGCGTCACCGCTCACTACGCAGCGGCCGCCGAACCCAAAGGGCAAACAAAGGGCATGCCCCGAACTACACCGCTCCCGCGAGGGGAGACGTGGGCCTGTGGCACCCCGGTTGAAAACAAACAGTGGCGCCCGCTCGCCCAAAGCACCTGGGAAACAGTTCTGGAACCCCGAAACCGAGATAAGGGGGGAGACGGACAGCCGATCCCGTCCCAAAGCGGCATATGCGGAGAGAATGAGGTCCCACACCGCCCTGGGGGGAGGACACGGGACCCGGCGGCCCCCCGGGAAGGAACGCCTGGGCGCGGGGATTTGGTCCCCGAAGGCCTGGTGCTCACCGCCTGCGCCAGGAGGTGCTTTGGCCCGACACCCCGCTTATGGGGGCTCCTTTTCGGGAAAGAATAACGATGATGATAATGAGGAGGAGAAGGAGAAGGAGGAGGAGAAGCAGGAAAACGACAAGGAAGATTCGCACCAGGAAGATAAAGAGGATTCGTATCAGGAGTGGGAGGAGAAGGAGTCAGGTGAGAAGGTAACGAAGAGGTGGAGGTGGAGGAGGAGGCGGAAGAGGACGAGGAGGAGATGGAGAAGGACCAGGAGTATCAGGATGACGAGGAGGATGACGAGGAGGAGCGGGAGGAGGAGGAAGAGAAGGAGGAGGAGGAGGAGGAGGAGGAGGAGGAGGAGGAGTGGAAGGAAAGAGAGCGAGGGCGAGAAGGGTAATGACGTGGATGCGGGGGAGGGGGACCACATAGTTCTGATGGTCCTGATGTTCTGGCACTGCCCTCGCAAAGAAAAATGCACACGAAAGGAGCCAAAGCTACACAAACATAATCTTTGGGATGTCCGCATCGATTTCTTGGATCTGCGCTGGACCCACTCCATGGCGCGCGGAGAGGGCCAGAGGCGGCGCCGGAGGGGCCGCCAGGGGGTCCAGCGCAAATCCAAGAAATCCGCGAGGACACTGCGGACGGGGCCCCTTCCACTCCCAGCCTCCGATGTCGCGGCAAACCAGATGAGCACGGGCCGCAGCGAAGAAGGAGGCAGCCGGACCGTCGACCCAATTTGGGACGACGTTTCTCGAGTTGGATCGATCCGCGAAGCCTACCCTGGGCCGCAAACGGAACACAAACGCCCATCGCGAACGCTTCGGAGCCCAAGCAAGCAAGCAAGCAAGTAAAGCAAGCAAGCAAGCACGCAGGCCTGAAATCTGGACGGCGCATCGGCGCCAAAGACTACATGCGCCAAGTGCAGCTCACAACCCTCGTCAGGGCATGGTTGCGCAAACGCTGGGTGCCCACTGCCTGGTGCCCAGGACCGAGAACAGCGAACAAAAACTCGGAGCCCCTTTCTTCTGAGCTCCCCCCCTGAGGACCCCAGTTTCAAAAACTCAGAGCCCTATCCCTAAGGACCCGTTTTCTTCAAGCTCGGGGTCCAACAATGGCCCCCAGGTTTGTCCTGTGGTGCGTCTTGACCCGAACCTCAAGGTGGATCCAGCCGTGGCGCAGAGGACGCTCCAGAAGCCCAGAAGGGCAAAAGACCTGCAAACCTCTCCGCAACGAACGTTGCCCCGCGTCTCCGCCGCCGGGCGGGTCGGGAACCTTGCAGTGCCCGCCCTTCTTGTCCCCGACCGCGACGGCTTTGCCGTCGCTGCGCAGGAGGAGCCGGGCTCGGGAACTGGTGGTCCAGGGAGCCGCCCTCTCCCCATCTGCCCCGCCTCCTTCCCCCTCTCCCTCCTGCTGCCTCTATGCCTCCCCCGCTCCTGCTCTCCCACCGCTCCCTATTCAATCCCTCTCCCGCTCCCTCTGCCCCATCCTCCCTCATGCCACTCCTCCACCTCCCTCTCCTCCTCTCCCTCACACTCCTCCTCCTCCTCCTTCTCCTCCTCCTTCTCCTATTCCTCCTTCTCACCACCTCCACCATCATCGTCACCGTCGTCGTCGGCGGCGCATCGTCAGAATCATCAGCATCATCCCCAGAATCAGTTTCATCCGCACCATCACCAGCATCACCATCATCAGAAGCAGCAACATCACCACCCCTCTCAGCCCCTGGCCCATCGCTCTTCCCCCTCTCCCAGTCCCCTCATCTCTCTCCGCCATCCCCGCCCCCCTCCTCTCTGCAATGGAACCATACGAGTAAAGTTCTGCTATCTCCCTCCTGATCTTGCGGCAGCGTGCTCCCACCGCATTCGCGTAGGCATAACCCACCGAATATGTATATAAACAAAAAGATGTTTCTGACACGTCTCGTCTCCTGCACACCACGGATGGCGGGCCTTCAGAAGTGGTGTTCCCGCGGCAGCGTGGGCCACGGGTAGAGATCGGCGCGCTCCTCCCGGCGTTCAGGATGGCGCACTCGCTCCAGCGCAGGCTACACTTCTGGATCCGAATAGTTCCTCGTCGTGGCCGCTCCCCTCTTGTTCCACTCTCCTGCCCACCCGCTGGTCCTGGTGCTTCTCCTGCTCCCTCTGCTCTGGCTCCTGCTCAAACACCTCTTCCTGCTCCTCCTGCTCCTCCTGCTCCTCCTGCTCCTCATCATCATTGCTGATCTTCCCTCTCATCCTCTCCGCCTCTGGCTCATTCAGCTCCAGCTCCTCCTCGTCCTCCTCCTCATCCTCCTCCTTACATGTACACGCCCCTTCCGCCTCCCCATCCCTTCCGATTCCGAGCAGTCCATCAGCATCAGCAGCGGCAGCAGCAGCCTCAGCAGCAGCGGAAGCCACTTGTCACGCGTGGTTGTGTTCTTCTTCTTCTGGGTATTGCTGATACTCATGATGATGTGTTAGCTATCATGGTTCGTCTTCACCATAATCATCATCATCATCATCATCATCATCATCATCATCATCAGCAGCATCATCATCATCATCATCGTCAGCATCAGCATCATCAGCAGCATAATCATCAGCAGCAACATCATCAGCATCATCAGCAGCAACATCAGCAGCATCGTCAGCTGCAGCATCAGCATCAGCATCAGCATCAGCATCATCATCAGCAGCATCAGCATCAGCATCAGCATCATCACCATGTGGCAGCAGCAGAGGCAGTAAATGCTTTTCCCTTGAGCCAGATCGGATAACAGTGACAAGAAACTTCACACAACTCTAAATGCAAAACCTACTGTGCGAAATATGCTCACCTGTCTCATGGGTGAGACTTTCTCGTAGGTTTTGCAGCCCTGAATGCCGGGCTGCACACAGCCCTGCGACTGGCAGTTGGTCATTGTGACACCTGCTACCCCGGGAGAAAAGCAAGAAAAGCGCCAGACTATTGGAACATGGGAACGGACATGGTGCACGCGGAGGAAGGAGAGGAAAAGGGAGGACGGGAGGAACCACCACCACCACCACCATCCTGGACCGGGGACGGGAACTCCCTCCAGGCTGTCAGCACGGGCCCGTCGAGGACTTTGCGAGAAGCTGCCTGGGTGCGGCTCTTGAGACTAGGGGTGTGACGGCGGCGCTCAACCTCGTCACCCTCATCCACTAGGATGAGGCGGCCGTTCGTCATCAGATCGAACAGTGCCGCGTTCCCCTTCGTGATGTCGTCTTTAGTCAATGAGTCCACCGGCATACGGCCATGTGGTATCCAACGTACTTTGCCTCTCGCCTCTTCTAAAGCTTCACATATTATCGCAAGGTCGATAGCTGCACGTCGGTCCTTAGCTCCAGCGTTGCCCTCTTTGAGCATGGTATCGTAGATGCTCTTGGCATCCACGACATGTACTTGACGCTCTCGCGCTCCTAGTCGACAGTCGGCTCGGAGGATGGTCGTGAAGGGGCACGACGCTCTCCGATGGTCACGGACATGGACGTCTTGAAAGATCACATCCCTGTAGAGGATCTGCAAGTATTCTACCTCGGCCACGGCAGCTGACAGAGCCTGTGTTTCTCCAGCAAGAGTGGACGGCACTTTACGTCGAAGCTTGGAACTCCTCCATCCTAGGATGGAGGCGCGGGCCGAAGTATTGTTCAAGAGGTCGCTGTCGGCTGCCAGCACCATCCAGGCTCCCTGGGTGGGATCTTCAGGAAGCCCCCGATCGTCAACCATACCGTCGAAAGCCCCTACTCCTCCGGCGTCGGAAAAAGAAGCGAAAGCCATCCGCTCGGGATCCAGGCGCCACACGGTGAGGCCCCTGGAGGCCGTAGACCGGAGGTGTCGAACAAGCTTGTTGGCCAGTGATACGTCTCCAGTAGTGGCGGCCTTGAGGCGGCTGGCGAGGATGCTCGCCACGCCGGCCGCCTCTGGGCGGGTCTCACGTCCCACCCAGTTGAACTTGTAGACAAGTGATCGCAGGGCTCGAAACTCAGCTGGCTCGAGTGGAGAGTCACGCTTGGACAGTCGGCCCTTGGCCATCGAGAGCGGCTTGACCTCCTCTAAAATGTACTTATCCATATCGAGCGTAGCCTTTTGAGCTCCTACAGTGACACGTCTCCCAGCGAACTCGACGGGTCCGGCGTGGCAGTCTCGGTACTTTCCGAACTTGAATCTCGCCTCGAGGGTCTGGCGAAGCCAAGACCTCGAGGAAGGCGACGAACTAGCAATAAAGAAGTCGTCGGCTTCGAGCAAGATCATGTTAAGTATCTCGCCCTTGCTGCCATATCGGACCCACCAGCACGGCTCGAGCAAGCTCTTGGTGAAGCCGTGCTTCTCCAGGAACTTGACAACTGTCCGACGCCACGCGACCGGGGCATCATCCAGGCCATAGACATTGACCCGCAGAAGGATCAGCGAGCCCTTGGGCAGGCTGATACCCTCGCACGGCTCAACGTAGATGATGCCCTGGGCGCGTGACATCGGGTCGGACTGGCAGAAAGCGTTCTTGACATCTGCGATGTCTGCCAGCATACCCAGATTCATAAAGACCTGGATAAACACCATTATGCTCGAGGTCTGGGGGGTCGGGGCGTAAACCTGGAGCGAGCCAGAGTCGGGATCGCGATGGCCATGGACGCACCAACGAGATTTGGCCGAGGGCTCCTGGAACGTACCCTCGACGGGTTTCCAGCGACGCACCATCCGGCTCGAGATGATGCGTTCGGCCTGGGCCCGCCGGATCACCTCGGCCTTGTCCGGAAGTATGATGTCGCACGCGCCGGTGCCCATCATAGCGTCCCATTCTTTCTGGTCTGAGATCTCGAACTTCTGCCTATCGGCTGGGGACAGGCTCTTGAGGCTAACCTCACCCCCTCGGCTCGCCGCGAACACCCCGGAGTCGTCAGTCAGTCCAGTCCAGCCTGCGTCACCCTCGAGATCCTGGGCCGGGACCGCCTGGACACCACCCTCACCACCACCGGGGAGGAGGAAGAAAGATCGCCTGTCCTGAGGGGACCGGCTGCGCTGCCGGGGGTGTCCTGCCTCGATCTCCCGGACCCGGTCGGTGACCGGTCTCCGGGGCGACCCTGCCCTCGCGGTGACCTCCCTCCCCTCCGGTTCGCCTGGCCCGCGAGGCAGAGGAGGGGGAGGAGGAGGAGGAGGAGGAGAGGGAAGCGAAGAGGAGCTGGAGGGGTCCGCCAGGGGTGGGCTCCCTCCCTCGGGCTCGGTCCTGGCCCTCTTCATCTCCGGAGGGGAGCTGGCAGCCCTCGCTCGGAGGATACAGCTGGGCACGTCGACAGGCTGGGCCAGCCTCGAACGCCTAGGAATGGATGGGTCGGAAGTCGGAGAGACGGCCGGAGCGGGGTCAGAAGGAGAAAAGGGAGAGGAGGAGAGCGGGGGAGCAGAAGAGGGAGCGACCGGGTCAGCAGGAGGAAGGGTAAGAGTCGGCTCACTCTCTCGATCCTCGGAGATGGCCCTGGACATCCCTGGGTCGGAAACGTCCGGCGTCGAATCCGGGGCCACCTCGTCGCCCTCCGCAATGGATGGAAGGCGGGTCCTCTCGCTCCCCGCCTGGGCGTCCACCGAGCCGTCCTCGGATGGAGCCCGGGGTTGCCTGTCCGCATAGCGACCGCCCGGGCGTCTCGGGAGGCCTCCACCAGAGAGGGACCCGGGGCCGACACGGGCCCGGGGACCGGAGCCTCCTCGGGCTCGGCGGGAACAGGCCCCGGGACTCCCGGAAGGTGAGGGGCCGCGTCCGCCTCGCGACGGGAGGGCTGGTCCCAGGCGTCGTCCGGTGGAGGGCCCTCACGCTGGACGTCCACCGCCAATGCTCGGCGGGTGTGCACCTGAGTCAGCAGCTCCTGCCACTGAGGGCTCTGAGCCAGCTGTAGTCCGTATTCTTCCTCCGGACTGGCGAGCCGCACTTGCTCGACCGAGCACCTCCACAGACGCGCCCTAACGGCAACCCAGACGGCGCCCCCTTCACACAGCACGACCACCCCAGGACCCGTCCAGCAGGCCCTTCGGCGACCGAGCGCGTCAGCTCTCGACGAGGCACGGCTGAGGTTGCGCCACACAAACACCCACTGGCCCGGCGTGAAGCTCTTGAGCGCCGGGGCACGGGCCTTGGAAGCGCGGCTTATCTTCTCGTGAGCGTTGGCCTCTATAGCCAGCCGCCGCGCCGCGGCCCGGACCTCCTGGGACCGAGCAAACTCGGCACCGGCTGAATCCTGCTCCGACGCTGGACTCAGCATGTCACGCCACCCGGGCACGGCCCCCGTGTCGTCCGACAGGATGTCGTGTGGGAGCCTGGGGTTTTGGCCGAAAACCAATTGGGCCGGGGAAAACC